TTTTTTTTTTGTACTTCTAAGGTAGAAATATAAGCAATTATGGTTTTTCGAAGAAAAAAATTCGCGTTTTTTCCCTGTTTCTAAGGCAGAATTAGAAGAAATTATGGTTTTTTCAATAAAAAATCGCACTTTTTTCCAGGAATCTGTTATTTATATATGAAAGTTATTGAAAGAAGCCATTATCCAAGACGCCTATGGGAACGAGTGAAACTTTCAAGAAATATGACGCAAGCTGTGCAGCAAATCGATAATGCCCTGATCCATTGGTCCGAGTATATTCGTCACAAATGTAAAGCACGCCTCATCCGCATACATCAGTACTTGATAAGAATGAGAAAAATGAAACTTCGCGCAAGGTATGTTCCTCATTGAACATCTTCAGTAAGGCCCTGTATTTTTCGTTGAATTTTCTCGATTTCCTGAATTTAGTTTCCTGGATTTTATGCTAGAAGTTATGGCTTCTTCGCAGAATATCAAATAAACATAGTCGTCGACTATTCCATTCCTCTTTTCTCTTGTCGCCGCACCTTGCCAGCAGCAATGCTACTCTTTCCGATACTTACGCAGCTCAGAATGGAAAGGCCTTGAAATGTTGCGATCTGAATTTTTGAACATCTCAGTAATATCATTAGCGTGAAATATCCGCACCAGTTGTTCCTTGGTACTGGTATTCTTGATAATTGTTTTTTCGTTTTTTTTTTCGACTTTTTAGTATCATTCAAAAAAAGCGCTAGTTTCTACATTTTAACACTGTTTTCTTAAAAATCTAACGCAGTTTTCTTACGGTTTAATCACGATTTAACTTGATATTTTTTGCAGTTTTTTTTTTATCCTCTCAGTTTTTGTGATAAAATGGGAAAAGAATGCCAATTTCTGCATTTTGACTTTATTCTCCTTAGAGTCTGCCTTAGTGATTTTCTTACAAATTAATTATGGTTTAAAATGATCTTGTTATTCTCGGTAATGATTTTCTTTATTTATCACTTCAGTTTTCTAAGTAGAATGTAAGAAGGGCGCTAATTTTTGCATTTTAACTTTAAAATCTAGCTGGATTTTCTTGCAGTTCGGTTACGAATTTAACATAATACTTTTGCACTCCAGCGCGATATTTCACCATTTAACATGATTTTTTCATGGTTTAAATCATAAGCTGTTTTAGTGAGTTTGAATCGATTTTTTAAAATTCTTTTTACTAACATTTTCTGCGGGTTTTCTTGATTTTTCTGCGAACTGCTTCGGTTTTCCGTTCATTTTTTTTCCAATTTTTAACAGATTAGCTCTGAAATTTCATTTTTAATGACTGGAATCGAATTCCTTTTTTTCCAATTTAGGTTTTTTTGAACTTGATTTTTGAGGTTTTTTTTCTAGGAAGGGGTTATAAGTTGTACATTCTTCTGGCTGAATATTGTGGATTAGCTTTTTCAGCAAATTCATTTGTTGTAATGCTTTGGATTTACTGTTTTTTGTCTTTCAGACAACAGAAGATTGTTCCGATACAAAAGAAAATTGAAAGACGCGAAGTGCGAAGAGAAGAAAAGGCACTGATTGCTGCGAAATTGGACAACGCAATCGAAAAAGAGCTGCTCAATCGGCTTCGTGAAGGAACTTATGGCGATCTGTATAATTTCAGGTACAAATTTCGACTTCCACTTTCATTTTTTGGGCTTTTATGATATTTTTTGGGCTCTTTTTTTAGCCTGGGTTGATTCTCCTTCGATTTCTCGCCTGTTTTATCAGAACTGTTTCTTTTTGAGGCATTGTTCCCAGAATCGTTTTTCGGTTTTGGTGGATGCGCAACACCCCTTTCCAGCAGTTTTTATACCGACTGATGGTTTGATGTAAAATTTAAAAGAACTTATTCTAGGAAAGAAGCATTCAATCGTGTACTGGATCAGCAGGAAGCCCTGGATGCCGAATCGGATCGTGAAATTGAAGAAGAATTGGAACAGGTATGAGCTCCCAATTAAGAAAAAAATGTCTGTGGTTTTGATGTCATTTTCATGCGTTTTTT